CCAACTACGATTCCCTGATGGATACACTTCTAACTTTTATAGATGTGTTGACTTAGAGAATTTGGCGATGAAGATTATGAAGAGTCATGATGCTCATGTGATGATGCAGCGCCTCCTTCCAATTGCATTGAAAGAAAATCTTCCGGATTATGTGTGGGCATGTATTTGTGATGTTTCTCAATTATTTCAGTTACTATGCTCACCTGTGCTAGACATACAGGCAATTCAGGATCTTCACCGTAATGTTCCCACTATATTGTGTAATTTGGAAAAGATTTTTCCTCCATCCTTTTTCGATGGAATGGAGCATTTACTTGTCCATCTTCCATTTGAAGCAATGACTGCAGGGCCGGCTTGGTATAGGTGGATGTACGGCTTTGAGAGGTAAATACTTTTACATTTTAGTTATGAATATAGGTAGTTATGAATATAAAATAATATATTAATATTATAGTAAATATTTATAGATTTTTGCGAGAGCTGAAAAAGAAGGTGACAAATAAAGCACACGTTGGAGCATCCATATGCCAAGCATACCTCACAGAAGAAGTTTCCACATTCTCTTCCTTCTATTTTGAAAGAGATATCATGACTAAGCGAAAAAGGCCTGTCAGAAATGATAATGTTGATCCAGCATTGTATGAGCAAATGGTTTCTATCTTCAACTATCCGGGCAAAGGATATGGTAGAAGGAGACACCGTCGGGTTGTTGGAGACGAGTTTCGAATAGCACAAACTTACATTCTGATGAACTGCCCGGAAGTCATTCCGTATTACAAGTAAGTCAATATTAACGCACATCGTAATAAATTATTTTCCACACTAACAAACACTCTAACCATTTCATTTTCTTATAAAAATGTAGTGATTACAGAGAAATGCTTTCTCTAGCTGGTTATTCCAATGAGGTCATTGATGCGACGATCGACACTGATTTTGCAGCATGGTTCAAAACTACGGTAAATCAATAAGGTTTTTTTTGCTAAAAATTTAATAGTATCATTACTCAACAACTAAATGACATTTGCAGATACTCCGTGAAGCTGAAAATTCTCCCGTTGATCCTTTCTTGGAGTCATTAGCATGGGGTCCTGAAACACTAGTGAGGTGTTGGTCTATATATTTTGTCAATGGCTACAAATATCATACACGGGCTTACGGAGACAATAAACCCACTATGAACAGTGGTGTGAGCGTGTCGACTTGTAGTTATGACAATTCTGAGACTAGTTTTTTTGGATATGTCGATGAAATACTGGAAATGACATTCACTGGCCACAACAAGTTATCGTGTGTGTTATTCAAATGCACTTGGGTGGATCCAGTGAGGGGGATGAAAAAGGATCACAAACATAACTTGGTGGATGTTAATCATAGGCGTGTGTATCCGAAAAATGAACCTTTCATATTAGCTCAACAGGCTGTCCAGGTGTATTACGCGGAATATCCGACGACACGGATCAATCGCACTGGCTGGGTAAGTGTTTGCACAATTAGACCGAGAAAAGTTGTTTCTCACGCGACACAAAAAAATGTTGATATTGATGTTTACCAACAAGAGTTTTTCCAAGCCCCAGTTCCAGACATTATTGAGGATATGTTTTTGAACGATTCTACTGGAGCACAAATAGAACTTGACCCCAACGACGCCAACGAGGGAACTGAATACGAAGAAGAAGAATGGGACTTTCAAGCGGAAGATACTGATGATGATGATGATGATGATGATGATGATGATGAGTACGCTGATCGGATCGACTCTGAAGAAGAAGAAGAAGAAGAAGAATGAATGAATGAATGAATTGTTTTATTTTCATGACTTATTCCAAATAAATTAATTTGAGTAGTCTAATTTGTAGCGATTCTCATTATTCTCATTTCAATCTTCTCTACCTGCTGTAATCCGAATACGTCTGGTTTGTATACAAACACGACTTTTATTACGCAAAAAGCGAACGTTTTTATTTAAATAGTTAAATAAATAAACTATTTTAACTTAAATACAAACACGAATTTTATGACGCAAAAAGCGGACGTTTTTAAATAAATAGTTAAATAAATAAACTATTTTAACTCAAATACAAAGACGAATTTTATTACGCAAAAAGCGGACGTTTTTATTACATTAATTTTGGTCGAAACATAATAAAATTACTGAAAGATGAAACGATACAAGATAATACATACCACATAATTAAACAAATTATGATAATAACAGTACATAATAAAACAAGACACCAACTTCATTCTTCAAACTGCCTTGCTACCATGATCTTCACTTTTAACCTCCGTTTCACTTCGTTTTTCCATTAACTTTCTAATTTTCTCAGCTGCAGCATCATCAACAGGCTTCATATATTTAAGTATTTCTCCCAGCCTATCAATTTTTTTTCCCAAGGCATCAAAATCACAGCCCCATATTTTTCCCCCACTTGAACCTTCAGATTTTTCCATAATATATCTCTTTCTAATTTCACACTTTCTAATCTTCTTTGCCACAATTATAAATATTTTCACCGTAAGACATATTTATAGTATAAATTCGACATTTGGCAAGGAATTGGGTGGGATATTTCCGTCTCAAAAAGGCTAATTCCGGTAATGCTAGTCGTTGGCACGGATATCGCCTTCACAAATCTGTCCCAAAACCGTCTGACATAATAATTACTGACCGCACAGAGTTTCAGACAACTTTTCAGTTTGGCACGGCAAGTTCCGTGCCAAAATCCTTTTCAATTTAAAATTAATTATTTCCGCCTGTCTGTTATCGTTTAGTGCGCCATTGGGACGGATATTTCCGACCCACACTGCCGCCAAATGCGAATAATAACCCGGAATAATCTAGAAATGCTCTGGGCACGGAACTTGCGACGGATTAGGCCGTGCCAATTCAAATAATTCAAATTCAAATTTCAAATTAATTTTCCGCACCGTTTCGTTTTTTTTTGCGCGCTTTGGGGACGGATATGACCGTCGCAAGGTCCGTGCCAACACCGCACAGATATACGAATACTCTAGAACGGGTCTGGCTCCGTCTTTGGGACGGATATTTCCGAGCCAAAACGCGAAGTATATAAACTGGCCTTAGCAGATTTTGCCCAAACCCTAGGCCATTACTTCTGTCTTCCCCCCTCTCCGCCTCTATTTCCTCCGCCCACTACGAACTCCGGCCACCATTTACCCTTCCACCCCCTCCATCTCCCACATTGAACTCCGGCCACTACATACTCTCCCTCCATCTCCCACAACGAACTCCGGTGACAATAACTTCTTTAAGCAGTTACTCCGGCCACCACGAGGCATTCACCGGCGACGCTAGGATCCATCCATTCAAGCAGCCCCTCTCCTGCATGCCGTGTTTGTAGCGACCTCCGTCCACGACGAAGTTTGTTTCTCCCTCACCGGCCATCGTCTTTGCTCTGTTTCCAGGTCATGTCCCCTTAAAAACTCTTTGGTTACGTTTTTTTATATTAAATTTATTTCAACGTATAGTTAACTTACGTTTTATTTAAAGTCGTTATTTATTTTTTTTAAAGTCGTTATTTAAAAAAATTATTATCTTAAAAAAAGTAGTTTGTAATTGATTTTATATAGACTATTTATGGTTTATAAAGTATTATCATCTATATAATTTTAAATGAAACTTTAAACAGTTATCATCTATATAATTATTTTTTACGGTTATCAACAAGTTATCATCTATATAATTATTTTATATACGGTTAAACAGTGACTTTTATAATTATTTTATAATGTTTAACAGTTATCATCTATACGGTTATCATTTTTATAAACTTTTCTATAATATTAAAGTGACTTGTTTATTATTTTTTAATTAGAAACGAAGTATATTTACAACATAAAATTTTGACAGTGGTATTTATAAATAGAAACAAAGTATTATATTTTTTTACATACTTTTGTTTATATACTTTTTAATTAAAAATGAACTATTATAATTAACATAAAAATATGACAGTGGTATTTGATGAAGTATTTATTTATTTATATTATAAACGAAGTGATGTAACCGTTTGTTCATAATTTTAATTTATTACAATCCACCTATTGTAATCATCTTGTGCATGAAGTAATTATTATAAATAAAGTATATAATAATTATTATATACCTCTCAGTGCTACACTCTTAAGTTAACTAATAATATTGTTAAACCAATGATGATAATTATTAAAGCAGTAAAATCGTATATACAAGATGTAGAATTATACTCCGTAAGTTAGTAATCTGTCTTTTAACTCATAAGTTGTTTTATCAATCTGGGAGTTTGACAATCTGTGTACTACTCCTCCTTATATAACTAAATGTAACAAGTTGTTTATATTTTTAAATCTATACTTGTATTTTGTTATTATTTGGTTAAAACCTAACTATTTTACTTGTCTCTTTCTATAAATTTGTTATACATTTCAATAGAATGTCTGTCCGTAGAGGTTCATTTACTTCGTTTACTTCCATGCGCGGAGGTCGGGCAGGTGGGGGTAGCCCACACACAGTCCCGGATGAGCAGCCCTCTCCTCAACCTGATTCGCATGAGTCTGTCCAATCCCGACACCTTTCTGATCATTCAAATGGTTTTGATTCTTCGATCCCTGATGAATCTGTTCCGAATAAGACCTTTATTTCACCCTTTGAAATGAGAAGGTAAAGAGTAAAACTGCATTATGTAATTCTTATTTAAAGGATTTCTACCTATATATTACTAATATGTGCTTTTACGATGTAGCAATCCTACTGTCCTCAACAACATCATTTCAATCTTGACTAACAATTTTCACGGTCCGTGGCGTTCTTATATGAATGCGGATGCCGATCAACGCAACCGTTGGTGGAAACTGTTTCAGGTATGTGAAACATACTAACACTTACTTTTGATTTGACAGATTGTGAGTTATTGCTGATCAACTTATTTTTGAGTTTTCAGAGGAAGTATGAGTGGGATTCCTGCTTTAATACCAAAATGAAGAAGAAGTTCAAGTCTCGGGCCTCTGAATGGCTAACCAAAAACATTGGTAGAGCTAGGCGTGACAACAAAAAGCCGGACTGGATTGGTGATGGAGATTGGAAGGTGTTGCAAGAGTATTGGTCCTCTGATGCTTTTAAGAAGAAAAGCCGTGCTGGCAAGAAGAACAGAAATTCCAAAGCAGGGAAAGAATCACAGTATCGCGGTGGAAGGATACCGGTGACTGCGCATGTTGAAAGGCTGGTTAGATTTCTGTTATAATTTTGAAAAATAAATAAGAGTTTTTTATAACTATAATGAACTGGTAATTGTGTACTGTTTAAATTCGTAGACAAAGGAGTTGAATAGGCCCCCGCTGAAGATTGAAGTGTTTGACAAAGTGTACGTCCCGAAATCTGGTGACCCCCCGGCACGTGTAGTTGAAACGAAGGTATATATCAGTTTGTTTTCTTACTATTATATATTATAGTTATAGTACATTTGACTCCCCTGTTTTATAATTGTGCAGCAAAAATACAATGAAATGAAAGCCCAGGCTGAGTCTCAAGGGAAATCGTACGAGCAGGATGATTCTGAGCTGTTTTGTGCGGTGGTGCCGCTGTACAAAGGCAGGCGGTTTGGGACAGGATCTGAAGCCGAGGCGATGTCGGACGTTGAATGTTCTAGCAGGATATCGGGGCCGACTCAGCAGGAAATTGATTCCCGCATCAAGGAACAGCTGGAAGCCCGATTTGCGGAGCAGGAGAAGCAGTGGCAAACCCAGATGGCGAACATGACTTCTGTGTTTACGGCGTACATGCAACAAGTGCGAAGTGTGAACCCTTCTGTCCCGCTGCCTGATTTCTCGGACTTTCGTACCCCGACCTCTGCCCAAATGAACGGGCTGGAAGATATGTTTGTGTAATGAAAACAATTTCATTTCTGTAGTACTCCTGGACATCTTCTGGCAATTTACTTGCCATTTCTACTTATGTTTTGGCAGTGGTTTATCTGCCTGGAATGTAATAATTTCATATTATGTACACTTCCTCTTTAATTTACGTGGACTGTGTATAATGTTCTATTGCATGTGTTCTATATTGATGTGTGCTTTTATTGTTGTTTTGTTACTAACAATGCAGGGGAAAAAAATGTACACCGTACATATGTACGGAATACCGTACATATGTACGGTGTACATTTTTTTTAAATACACTCATTTGGCACGGATATATCCGTACCAACAGTCCTGGTAAATTTTGAATATATGACGAAGGTTGGCGCGGACATAATCCGGGCCAAAAAAAACGGGTTTTGGTTAGCCCGACCCGACAACAACCGAGCCAAATGCCGTGCCAACAAAAATCCGAGACAAATTTTTTGGGTCTTGTAAACGTAGTTTGGCGTGGATATTGCCGTTCCTATTTCCGTGCCAAGGTTTGGCACGGAAAGTAAAAGCCGTGCCTACGCGTTTGGCACGAGCCAGGTGCGACGGATTCGACATCCGTGCCAAATCCGTGCCAAAAGCGATAGTCTGGGATATTTGTGAAGTGATCCGAGCCAAAATCCGACCCTATGGCGATTTTTTTTGGTAGTGAATGCCGCCGACTTATTATTAAAAATAGAGAGCCGATAACAGCAAGCAACAAAACCTCCTTCGTTATTGCCGCCACCGGGATTGTTGGGGCAACAAAACCTTTATCATCCGTTTAAATAATTGATGCGTTGTTTATATATATATTGCGTTTATGAACGATTTAATAATTACATATTGTATTGTTAATCATGAAAAAATAACGATTTAGGAGAAGGCTACTTTGGAGAAAGTCGTGGGTTATATAAATGATTTATATATATATATATATATATATATATATAACCTACAAACCAATACCAATCGTTAGATTAAACAAATCGGACAACTCTCTGTATGGGACGCATCATTAAACGGGTGCACTGACACACATGGAATTGAAAAAGGAAAACACCGTCTCAGAGCTTAACTCATTTACAGGGCTACTGTAGTAATTTAACAAAACAAAAATAAGAGCCGCAAAAATCAAATTTGAGAATAACTTTGGAAACCTGATTTTACGGTTAGTATTCACATGGATGATTGAATAAGGTAACCGACCATGAATAGCAATGGGGAGAAAGGTAAATTGCAAAACATGGGCGATTGAAAACAGAGTGACCAGCGATTTGAAATACTGGAGCAAGGTTTTTGGTTATTTTTTTTATTGAAGCCAAGCGCAGGGAAGGGGGTGGGGGTGATTGATGATTGTAGGGGATTGGTTCGCTGCAAATGGAACATCTGTTGCGTCAAATTCAAAATGAGCTTGATGAAGGTACTCATTTTTAGTCCTTGTTTATTTGAATATAGATGCAAAAATATTAATCTGGATGCATGTTTGATTTGATTATTGAACTGCATATTATTGACAAAATTATGATGCAGATGCATGATTTTCATGTAAAATCAATAAATAATGTTAGTTGGTTAAATTTTATTTGACATACAGGTGTATTATTCAAAGTTAATATAGATGTAGGAGTTTGAGATATAGATGCAGAAGTTTGATGTGTAAGATGCAAGAGTTTTGGTACATGGAATTGGACTGTCATATAGATTTGTGATACGGTACTTTTAGATGTAAGAGGCATGGATTTTGGTACTTGGAATTTAATTTTGGAATAGATGTAAAGATGCAGTAGTTTCAAATGTAAGATGCAAGGTATTGGTAATAGGAATTGGATTTTCAAACGAATGTAAGGTGCAAGACATGTAAATGTAAGATGCAGTAATTAAAGATATTAGATGCAGGATTTTAAAGCATGTGACTTCTGTTTGTGAGAAATATAGATGCATGAGTGTATGATACAAGATGCATTTATTTAAAGTCGAATAAAAATGAAGGTCTCAGAATTGTGTTAACGCATAGTATTTGTTAAATGTTGATTGAAAGTGAATACAACTTTATGCATGTTTTGATTGTCGTATGTGTTTAGTAAAAGTCAAGTGTTATGATTGAATCACACATAATTGCACTTTGTATATTTGAGCTTCAATTCATGTATGCACAAAATTCTGTTATAAGATGCAAATCTAATATATGGATGTATTTTCTATGAAAACAAGCTAAACGATGACATGTAGATAAAATAGACAATGGAGAAGAGCAAGAGGTAGTAGGAGCGAAAAGAAAACAAGAAGGCGCATCATGTAAGTCTAAATTGAATAGTGGTCACTACATTAGGAGTAGAAGGTCCACAGGTGCAAGCAATGATGAATATACAACATGATGAATTCCAAGGTATTGAAGTGAGAAGCAAAGGTAGGAAACTAGTACAAGGTTTAAGAGAAATGAAAACAAATTGAAGTTTATTTGTTATGCAGTTTAATTTCATAAATTGCATTTGTTATCGATCTAGTAATGCAATGATGTTGTGGTAACTATACAGGTATTGAGATAAGTAGAAAAGATAGTGGAAGACTGGAACTAAGCATGAAGAGAAGGAGGATTTGTGAAGACAAATAAATCAAAGAGGTTGAATGCACCATAGCAGGAGTTGATTCAGACAACATGTGTTTTTGTTTACATTTTACTTGGAAAAAAAATACTATGACATATGTTATTGAGTGTGAGTGGACATCTATGGAAGTTTTTACATGACGTTAATAATGAAACATCATTCATGACATATCGTATTATGTTGATTGTTTGGTAAATGTGCAACACAAACACTTATTCTGGTTGAATGAATTTTAGTATGAGTTTATTTGCATCTTAACAACTTGTATGATGCACCACAAAGAGCAATAATATGCATCATTATATGTTTGAGATATATAACATAAATTAGGACTATTGTGTGGGTAAAGTGCTACAATGAAGTTTGAAAGCATTTTTCAATGTAGGTTTATTATTGTTGAAGTGGTGTATGAGCATCCAAATTTTAGATGAAATCAAGTGTTTTTTTAGGTAATGAAATCAAGTGTTATATGAGTTCAGATGAATAAATTTAGTTCAACAACGTTAACACATTGGGAAGAGACAGTGAACTATGCATTACATAGCATATGACGATGCACCATTGTGATGTATAAGGTGCATTACAAATTAACAGACTTACTACATTTATCTTTATCATCCAAAGAGACGGTCTATAGAATGCAACCATACATACCGCTAATTTCATAAATTGTGATATAAAAAATAACTATTTGATACAAATAACAAAAGAAATTAATGTCCCCATTAAAGGAGTGCGTCAAATAAATAGATGAAATTATTATGCATATAAATGCATTTGAGAATGCATTTCAATGTGCTCTAACGTGCAAACAGTAATATGATAACGGATGACATTCAGTGAATCACATGTGCACATATAGTACAAAACATAAAATACAATGAATACAAGGTAAAAATAGATTTATTTTGCAAATTTATTTACATTTTACATACCAATACATGGAAAAATAACATAACAAAATAACTAAATCAACTTATTCATATCATGAAATCCTATTTACTATATTTAAGGGGTAATTCCTGCTATCATTATGGGGCAAACTACAGCTGCAAATTCTTTGTAGAACTCGTCTGCATCTTAAAAAATCATCCCAGTGCTCAGGGAATCAGCTGCATAATCTGCTAATTGACTTTGGACCTTCTCAAGCACCGCACCCCTCCCTTCAGAACAAATTTGTGATGAAAATGTCTTTAAACAAGATCATCACTTCTCTGTGGCCCTAGAAATTATTTAGAAATTGCAGTCTTTGTAAAAATTAAACCAACATCTAGATTAGGAAATATCATCCTAAGAACCGGTATCTTTTCGGGTGAACACACGAAAAGAAACAATTCAAATCTATATAAACAACATATGATAAATAATATTAAACATGAAAGAAAACCAATATTAAACAAATGCACCATAAAACAAAAACAAATGCATAATACATACTTTACCTTGCAGGAGTTGCAGAAGATAAAAATAAAACACAAAGAGAAATTTCACAAAACATTGAAATAATCAATTTCTCCCTTCACGTTAATGCTGATGCAATTCAGTTTCATTCATAATTTATATACAATAGAGTTCACACAAAAAAACAAACCTACAAAGTGAAGAGAGGTAACATTATCAGCGTTTAATTGTGAAAATCGATCTGAGAAGACACATGATAACATCAACTTGTTATTCGAATCAAATAAATTAAAAAATGGATGACCAGGAGACACGAACAACCACAAGGCATAATAAATCTAAATTTTTTGTATGAAAACAGAGTTCATCAAAGATGTAGGGATTCCTGATTCCATGGCGGTCGATGATTATGATGGGATATTGATTCGAGCGCTATTCATAATCTCGAAGAGGAAGATAAGCGTACAGATGAAACCCTTGATCGATTGGGAAGATGGAGTGAAAGATGAAACGGAAAATAGGTGGTTTATGTTAATGGAATTTAATGAGCGTGATTTTAGTTCCATTATAAAAGACAGGTAATTGACCAAAAGACCCTTACTTTTGATTAATCCGAATTGAGCCATTAACATGAAACGTACGTTGATCTGAACTAAATGAATGGCCTGGATTAAGTTTGTAGGTTAGCATATTAAGATGGGTTTGCATTTGATCTCTCATCTATATATATATATATATATATATATATATATATATATATATATATATATATATATATATATATATATATAAAAATTTCAATTGGGAAGGTTACTCAGGAGGTTCCGGCGGGAGAAGCTCAATTAATCCTCACCGGATGGAAAAAATGGAGTTAAAAAGAAAATAATTAAATATAGTATAATAATTTCAACGCAATATTAATACATGGAGTTGCATCTTTTTATGAACAATTTACATCTTGATGTGTGTGAGTTACATCTTTTTATATATAAGTTACATCTTCTGAAACACAAGTTACATTTAGACATACCTCAACAAGTTAAATTATGTGTACATCTTGAAACGTGGATTTGGCTCACAGTGTTCTCTTCAAACTTAGATTTACATTGACTTAGAAAAGTTACATTTTTATTGAGATTTACATTTCTGTTTATCTGAAGTTACATATTTACTAGT